TGCATTCAAGACATCGATACCAATTTAGTTTAAACGTATGGGCAGGAATAATTGATAAATTTTTAATTGGACCTTTTTCTCTTGATGGGAGACTAACAGGCACAAAGTACGTTGATTTTTTGAGCACGCGTTTACACGAAATATTAGAGGAAGTTCCAGTCGATATTAGATTATTCGTATGCGGTTTATGCATGATGGAGCTCCGTCGCATTTTAGCCGAGNAAATGCTGAAATACTACGAAATAGAATAGAGCAAGGCTTCCGACAAATTCGAGAAACACCAGGAATGATAGAGAGAGTAACCAGATGAATGACAAGACTCGTGCAGGCTTGTCTTCAAATGCAAGCTGGTCATTTCGAGCATCTTTTGTAAAAGTAATTCAAAACAGAAAATTCATTATATCTCATAAACGAAGACAGATAGGACATATATTTATATGACTTTTTTTCCATTATTTTTAGGCGTACAATCAGCTTCCGAAGTGAGTCTCGCAAGTTACGAAACACACTGTCTATTAAACGTTCCCGATGTTTTAACGTTCGATTCGCGAATCGATTCGGTGAAATCGTTGTTGCTGGTGCTTGGAAAAAATGAGAAACACGGCGGATACGGACGTTAGAAAATATAATACGTACGTGTTATATGTACACCCGCATATTGAGAACGTTGCACGCAAGTTTCTTGGAATAATTAGGGACTAATTTTTTGCAGTCGATTGTCTAGGAAAAAAGACAGAAGGAGTTACCGACAGAGAAAGGCAGGACTCTTTTTTTTTTTTTTATAATTGTTTTCCTTCAACTGGGCGAGAGATAAGTCGCATGGTATTGGATATTGAATTGTAACATATGAAATGATACTTATTTTTTTCAATTTGAAAATAAAAGAGGAAAGATTTGCGCGTCTGACGAGTGAAATTAGAGGAACGAGGACTATCATTGTACGGCACTTGGAATTCTGTGGGAGTATCATTTTTTTAGAATTTTACTAGCAAACTATTCGTACATTGTTTCTGCTCTTTGTAGTCAAAATGTACCTCAGACTCAACTTCTCAACTAAGATTCTTTACTTTTTAATTAAAATTGCAGTTGAATTTGATTGAAATCGACTAAGATTAAAGTTGATCAAGATTAAAATTAACATTAGAACACTACCAAGGACTAAAGTATGGAATTTTCATCAGAGATATTAAAGTGAAAAAAAAATAGCAATACAATAGAATACACGAACTTTTATTCACGTATTTTATAAAAAAAATCATTTAAACCTCTAAAACTACACTATTTTGCATTCTTAATGTATCTAAAAAAAAAAAAAAAAATTATGAATTAATCGTTTTGACCACTTTAGTAGTTCTAGTGTTAAACAATGTGGCAGAAATGAAAATTAAGACAATGCGACAAAAACGTACGATTGAAAAATATCTGCACATTCACTATTAGTGAAAAGTCATTTTGACTGGTTCTAACGTCAAGTAAAGTTAAACTGCGCAGATCGTGAACAAGATAAACGAGATTGAATGAAAAAAAAAAAAAAAAAAGACAGCAAAACTTCAGTTCCAAGCTGAGATCGGAAATTTTCGAAATTCAGAAACGAAATCTGAGACACTTCAACTGATGCTAGAGCAGATTGTGCATTTGCACGATTGCCAAAAAACGCGAGGCTCCTCACGTTGAAAAATCGCGATACACGTTCGACCATTGTCACAAGAACATTAACTATCGACAATTGCCTTTAAACCTACATCCTAGAGAAACGATAGATCTCTTCACTCCGCAGAGTGTACATAGTATAAAACTAAGATAACGATATATTGCGTATGTTACAATCCAATATAAACAAGTTCCGATCTTGGACACGCGAAATACGAGATCGATCGAGACAACTCCAACTTCCTTTTTTGAAAAATTGTACTGTAATTAACGCTTTCGTAATTAATACGTAATTCCGTAATTACGATCGTCGATATTAACGAAGTGGAAGGATGGGAACACCATAGTTCCACGAACATTCTTCTTCCATCGCATAAGGTGCATCCCCCTCCTCCTCCCCCCCCCCCAATATAAACGTAAAGTAAAGATAAAGTTAGCCCGCTCAAAGCCATAAGGAAACAAGAACGCGAGGAATCGATTCCTTTTTTTTTGTTCGGCGTGCTCGCCGACGATTTTTCGTAGGGATTTGATATCGGAGTTCGTTCGGGACGAGAACGTCCCGAATGTCTGGATGAATCACGCGTTTTCTGATCATAGTTATTTTTTTATTGAGGATAGAGACGAGACATTCGTTGGAAAGAAAAAAAGAGGGAGGGGGTGAGACGAGGGAGAGAAACGCGAAAATTTATGATCCCTCGCGCGCGTATATTTTTTATGCTACCATTTTACGGTCATAGAGCATATCCTCAAGCATTCGTAGCGCTTTCATTGCTATATCATAGATACGTATGCTGCTTTCAAGACCTAAAGCGTAACGAAATACGACTACTCGACGATATTAGGAGACATGTCCTCTGTAGCTCGTTCGAAATTCACTGATTCGGAGGCTGGTTTGCCGATTTCTCTCTGCGTAGCGATCTTTTGTTACATTGTGACGAAAGACTGGATTTCTCTTTCATTTTCTTTTTTTTTTTTTTTTCTTTCTTTTTTTCTTTCTTTGAGGATCGTAGTTCTGCGGAGGAATGAGAAGACAGTTTCAATTTGAGAGAGAAAAGAAGATACGCTTATGGTGTATAAATAAAGAAGCCTTTTATTTCATTTTTGATGAACTGTAGGTAATTCGCAGCATCAATAATGAAGGTAGCTTCAATATTTGAATCTCGCATTTAAAGCGAGCATATTTAAATAAATATCAAAAGCATATTTAAACCATATCCATGAATGAGAAATTCTCTTGTCTTTTTCTTTTTTTTTTTTCCTTTTTGTTTCTTTTTATCGTCGTATAAACCTGAACGTGAATTTGTAGCAGAACGAAATTGCCCCAAAATTGCAACATTCTCTCGGTTTTAAGTATAATCCAGGCAAAACAAATAATAAATTTATTTCTCAGTAATTTCTATCCTGTCATATCGTACCGACGAATTATTGGTATATCGATATTGGTCACTCGTTACGGTCCGCAGTCAGTCGCCAGCCGCAAGTGGTTAATCTTGCAAATACAATTTTGCACTGCATGTTAAAAGCTTCTTCTACTTCGTATTTATAATGATCTTGAATTTTCCTCCTGTTGAGGGAAGTTTGACGTTTTGTTTTTCGATTCATTTCAAAATTTATTTTATTTATTGTATATTTATTTTATACTTTTCTTTTATCAGTGACAGGTACGTAGTTTAAATCGAAATTGAATGAAATCATGGTGTGCAAATGACGAGAGGACAAATAGCCTTCGATCGGTGAATTGATTTTGAACCAGCTGCAGCGGCGTAAATTTTACAATCGGATCGCTATTTTGAATTCAGTCGATGCGATCGTTAACGTTTAGATTGCTAGATCGTGCAATCTAGTATATAGAGTGTCTGTGTTTTGAACGAGTCTAGAGTAAAAAAATAGAGTTTGAATCGATGTTCGATAATAAAATTAATAAAATTGTACAAGTAATTAGTCGTCCATTACGCTGTTAACTGGGTTACTGTCTACGATTGGTAATGTGTTTTCTCCTTCATTGTCAAAAGTCTGTTCAACTTTGTTCTGTGTAAAAAAGAAATTCTGTACAATCAGTTTCTATCACTATAGAATATTTGTATAATTCATATTGGCCGGGTGGAAAATTATCTTTCTCGTACGAAACGTTACAGTCAAACGTTTTGCAATTTAATTCGTAAACTATGAATTAACATTGACTCTCGAAAGCTATCATTTTACTCCACGATTAGACGTTTTAATCACTTTTATTAGATGTAATGTAACATTGTATATTTTGCTACAACAATTAACCACTAATATTGCATTATATTGTAGCATGTTCTAACAATACACAATTACAGTAAACGATAAATTTCCTCATTTTTTCATCTGATACTGAACAACGAAACGTTCAGTCGCATTTGTTCGACTTTGCCAATTTCCTAATTAAAATTGTACGTATAAAATTTCATCTTTTTCGTAATTAGTCCAAACGTTCGACTTTTTATCTAAAATAATTCGACTTGTCTAGGAATAGTGAATAATGACGAAAATAATGTTCAGTCGTGTTTAATTATAAATTTACAAAATTTACATTGAAATTTCATTATAAATTTACAAAATTTACACCTGCAACGTTAACCTCTTTCGACGATAGCTTTTAAGAGTTGAAAATTAGAAATAATCCAGTTAACGGAGAAACAACCAAAGATCTCGAGTTCCAAAAAAAAAATTTCCCTTCTTCGTCGTACTATTCTCACACACCGTGTCAGCATACGTACTTATAGCGACTGTATCGACGATAGTGTAGCTACGACCACAGCAGTGAAAGGGTTAGCGGCGTTCTTATACAAATCTCTACTAACGTTCAAGAACTGTGAACCATGAGAAAGCAGAGAAAAAGAGAAGAAAAAAAGAAAAGACAAAGGCAAAAACCACCAAAAGAAAAAAAAAAAGAAATAAAAACGAAAGAACGAAGCAAGAAAACTGTAAAGTGCGCTAATCACTCGTCGCTACCTTTGTAATCGGTTTTTTCAATTTTTTTATTTTTTTTTTTTTCTTTCATCGACTTTCGAGACGCGTTTTGCGATCTTCCACTGGTTTTCTTCCTTCTTTTCTTTTTCTCCTACAAAGCGAAATCAGCTTCTTCTCTGACAATTTTTGGAAACAAGGAATCAGTGGCCGCCCGTGATGATCCTACGAAATTCATACCTGCGTAGTGTTCTGAAAGTTCTGAAAGTTCTTAGTAGTGTGCGTTCGCGAGAAAAGAAAAAAAAAAAAAAAAAAAAAAAATAGAAAGAAAGGGAGGAAAAGAGATAACGATAAAATCGATTGATCGACGACGTTAATTTGGAGAACTCATTCGAGCAAATCGTTCGCATAGGCCGATGTACGGTGACAAATGGATAGCTGAGAGTCCACTTCGATTCTACGCGATCGCCGGTGCCACTTACGTGTACTTCCCAGCCTTCAGTTCTATGCAGATGGAATTGATCGACCGGATATTACCGCACACGAACTTTAAATTCTCGAACATGCATCACGATATTGGATTGTTCAGGGTGACTATTATGTGTATATATAAACTCTATGTGGAAAATAAAATAAATGAAAGAAATGAAAAAAAAAAAAAAAAGAATGAAGAAAAGAGAGAGGTGAGCGAGATCAATTCTCAAAAAGATCCTGATCCAATCGTTTGTCCATTCGTTTCGTTTTATTTTATCATTTTGACATCATTTGTCAAATCGATGTTGCAAGTCCTTTCGTTCGAATTGCTATCTGGACCTCGCATAAAAATTTTTTTTTTCTTTTTTTTTTTTGACAAAGAAGTATACAAGACGTGCGAAAGTTTCGATTTGCTATTTATTTAGTAATTTATTTCTTAAATAAAGATTTCTGTTTTTTTTTTTTTTTCGTTTCTTTTCCTCCCAATTACAATGCCGATTATTGTTTCATCCTCTTCGTAAATTCCGAAAATTCTTTCGCACGAACTGCTATCTGGAAATGTTACTCTTGGCAGTAACAACGACATTAGAACGAAGGAAAGGAGAATTGATTCTTACTCCATTATCAGAATCCTCTTTTGCAGTTAATCCTCTGTAAACGGAATTTCGCTCACCTATAGGGAGAAACGAATGATCACTTGATTGTAACTAGTATTTGTTCCAATCAGAGACCACGGAACTGATAACTGTTATGAATAAGTGACTTCAGTCATTTTTGCAATTGGTCTGTAATATAACAAGTCAAAATAAATTTAACGCAAATATGTACTTATTGTGAATATTTCAAATTTTATCAAGTCGTACAATTTTATAGAGGTTTAACTTCTAACACTAGTTCATAATATATATATATATAGAATATTAATTATTCTAGAATTATTAATTATTATTATATATATATATAGAATATTAATTATTCTAGAATTATAAATTATTATATATATATATTAATTCAGTAAGCCCTCTACACTAGTTTATAAAAAATATATATATATTATAAAATTCTATATATATATATAATATAATATTCTATATATATATAATATTAATTATTTCTAGAATATATATATATAGAATTTTATTATATATATATTTTTTATAAATTGGTGTAGAGGGCTTACTGAATTAATATATATATAAGCCCTCTACACAAGTTTATAAAAAATATATATATATTATAAAATTATATATATATATATATAATATTAATTATTCTAGAATTATTAACAATTATATATATATATATAGAATATTAGTTATTTTAGAATTTTATATATATATATATATATAGAATAATTAATAATTAATTAAATATAAAATTTATAGAATAAATAGATAAACACAGAATAATAAAATAAAACAATTAAAAAAAAAAAAAAACTAGGCGCCAAAGCGAAACATGGCGCCATTTCCCTCCTATCGTCATTTTTTTTTTTTTTTGTTTTTTTATTTCTGACTCATCCTGTGGTTTCCATGTTCTATTATCGTTTCTCTTGTTTCCTTTTCTTTTTTTTTTTTTTCCATCCAGCTTCGGAAACCTTTTTACATCAGCTCGTACGTGAGATACGTCGCTCTTCCCCATGCCTATGACGCAAACATTTTCCAAAGGTACACCGACCCGTGCACTGTGGTTGGCTGGGGACGACACATTCCTGACTCCGATGTACGTAGTTAATCGTATCTTGTTATTTACTTGTCATCCGCAAAAATTGTTTCATTGATCGACGAGGGTAGAGACAATCGGTTGATGGTTGCGTTGCACGTTACGCGGAAAATCCGCAAGTGCTTTGACGATGAATACGATGGAATAGAATGCATGGAAAAATAGAGTTTAATAGAAAGATGGTACGGAGGTTTAAAATTCAGATAGATTGATCCTTTGAAGGGAGAAAATGGAAAAGTGGATTTATTGCGTACTCTCTGTTTATTTCATATATTCTAATATTATATTATATTATAATATTATAATATAATACAATTACAATACAATTACAATTACAATACATTATAAACTTGTGTTATATATTTTCATTTTTTCTTTCTTCTTTATTGCGCTTCCTCACTTTTTACGATTGCATTTTACATATTGTTCCTTGTGATTTGTCTCTACTCTACTCGTTAATTTGCATTTTGTAATTTCTTTGTGTGTGTCTTTGTCTTCGTATAGTCTCGAGACCAATTCGAAAGTGTCCTGTGTCTCGCTATCTATTTTATATTTTACATCTCACATCTCATACTTTCATTCCCATTTTTCATTTGATGTCCTGTTTTCCATTTCTCCATTAATTTTTTCCAATAATTTCATTCCACGTTCGTTAGAACGATTCAGAAAACGCATACGAAAGCTACGTGATCCCGACAAATTTCCTACAGAGATAACTTGCGGGCACCTCTGAATTTTTCTATCCCACAAAGTGGATTTCTCACGAAAGATTTCTAGTCCACGAAATTTCTCCAGGAATAACTTGTAAATATACCAGAATTTTTTTGTTTCCTTCTACAAAATGAATTTCGGAGTCCAAAAATTTTCTGTAGAAGTAATTTCTGGGCATCTTCGAGTTTTCCTATCGCACAAAATAGCCAAAAATTCCAAAGGATCAGTTTGTAGTACTTCTTTTGCTATCCCATAAAATGAATTCCGTCATTTACAAATAAAGTAATCGTATTAGGCTAAAACTTAGCATTGCATTTACATTTGTGGGCTAGAAAATTCATTTATCGACTCATGCAAAGAGTTTTTTCTCATGGAATCACCTTCTACCATCCGATATTTAATTTATATTAATACACATATAACAAATATAACACGTGTATAATCGAACTTAGAAACAGATTGTGCAGTGAATAAAAAAAAAAAAACACACACACACACGTTTGAAGCTGATTTTAAATTTAGAATTCTAATTCCTTTTTCAAATTTGAATATGAATACTTGCGGAGAAAGGTATTGAATGAGAAGTAATAGATACTTTAACACAGCACAATTAATTTTAGTTTATTTATTTAGAAAGGAGTCGGTACATATCTTCGAAGCGTTAATTTATCATTAATCCCAACTGAAAAGTGTCCAGTCACAGGAGTAGATGACAAGGTGCATTTATGCGCTGGCATGCTAGACGAAGGTGGAAAAGACGCCTGTCAAGTTTGTATTTATCATGTTCAATATTTACTTTCTATTCGAATATAGTTTCTCTAAAAGAAATCAATTCCAGGGTGACAGTGGTGGTCCACTTCTATGCAACAACACACAAATTGGCATAATATCATGGGGGCAAGGCTGTGCACGTCCTAATTCACCAGGAGTATATTCCCGACTAGATTTATACTTGAACTGGTTAAACGAAACTATATTGAACAACGCTGCTGCCGAAATCGATTCCAAAGTGATAGACATTATTCTTGTTCAATTAATAATGCTCATTATAATGTGAGAATAAAATGTAATTCTGACAAGTGACGAGGACATAATTCTGAAACGAAACAAAAGAGAAAGGAGATATTCTATTGTAATAGAAACACTTATATTGTACGAATATGTGCGAATAAATTATATTACATTATATTAAATCCAGTTTAAAATTATTCGAAAAACCCCTGAATCAAGAGAATAGCTGAAGGCATTGTCGTGCCACCTCCACCGATCCCACACACTCCTGGCACAAAATTCGAATGTCCAACACGAAATACCTCCCCGTTCACGAGATATTCCAGCTTCAACATTTTTTACGTGCTACCTCCTCGCCCATCCTATTCTCCTGATACAAAATCCGAATTTTCAGCCAGAAATTCCTCCACATACACGAAATACTCCAGCTTAAACATTTTTGTCGTGCCACCTCCTCGCCCATCATATTCTCCTGATACAATATCCGAATTTTCAACTAGAAATTCCTCACCAATCACGAGATATTCCAGCTTCAACATTTTTGTCGTGCTACTTCCTCGCCCATCCTATTCTCCAGATACAAAATCCGAATTTTCAGCCAGAAATTCCTTCCCTTTCACGAGATATTCCAGCTTAAACATTTTTGTCGTGCAACCTCCTCGCCCATCATATTCTCCTGATACAAAATCCGAATATTCAGCCAGAAATTCCTTCCCTTTCACGAGATATTACAGCTTAAACATTTTTGTCGTCCAACCTCCTCGCCCATCATATTCTCCTGATACAAAATCCGAATTTTCAGCCAGAAATTCCTCCACATACACGAAATACTCCAGCTTAAACATTTTTGTCGTGCCACCTCCTCGCCTATCATTTCTCCTGATACAATATCCGAATTTTCAACCAGAAATTCCT